ACACGAAGTGCACGAGTCCAGGGAACTCTGACAGGTACTTGTGCAGCGTTAGGGAACTCGCGTCCGTCTCGCCCGTACACACCACATTAAGCGAAATAATTCATTCATTTGCACACACTCACATAAAACATTAGTAAGTAATATTATAGATACGTTACATATGAGATTGTTATAAAAAAGAGATTTACTCAACTATAAAGTTTCAAGTTTAAATCTTTATATGTCAAAATAAAGCAACCCGAGAAGCATTTTTCATAAAAAAAGAACGGAATTAAAAAAAAACCACAAATACGATAGCTACAAAACAAAACATTGAAAAGGATATGATCCCAAGCTAAAGTATCGCATCGCTTTGACGCGTAGAAAGTCGATGTAGGGCGCCAGTGTATTGGTGAGGTCTTTCAGCGGCTGGTCCATCTTGAGGCTGGGTATGTCTGGTCTGAGGTGGTCCAGCAGGGCGTCGAGCGCGGTCCTCATGGCCGTGGCCGTGGTCTCGGGCGTGAGCGGCGTGGTCGTGGTACACGACTTACGGAGCTCTAGCATACGGCTGGTGAGTCTCGCACAGAGGTTGGCGTTTGATTTGTTTTTACGTAGAGCATCTGTAGTCTGAGTAAGGATATAAATTGTTACATTAAGGGCCTGTCCCACAATTCTTCTAAATAGTCAGATAACAATGCAACGCATAAAACATATGATGGGAGTATCGGATTTTGGTACTCTATCTGACGTCTTTTTCAAGCTATCTGAGCCTCTATCAGCCAGTGGTGGGACAAGCCCTCAGTTTTTCCTTTATTATAAAAAATAACATGGCTGTTTCAATGTTTATTAGAATGTTTTTTAAAGATGGTAGCAACCGCCACAAAAACTATATTTTTCTTTTTTTTTTTACATAGCTATTCCTAATTATCGTATTAAGGTTAAGTATACCTTTTTAACTGCAGCTTCCAGGTTATCTAATGTACTGGGCAGCATTTCCAAGTTTCTTTGCAGTAACAGTCTTTCCAGATTCGACAGTATCTGGCTGGACATGTGAGCCGCGATGCCTATGTCCCTTTTATTAAAATAACAAAGAAAATAGATTACAAAATTTCAAATAAACATCTAGAATATGTCAACATTTATTTATCACCACTTTTTTTATATAAGTGAAGGGGGAAAACGAGCGACGGGAACACAGAGGTTGTCAACTACGTCAATAGACATCCGTAACAGGCCCTTGAATTGTAGGCTCCCTTCTTGAAGGACCCTAAGGCGTATTGGTTTGGAAATACAGCCGAGAACAGATCGTTTTTAGCGGTACACCTTTCGAAATATTTTGTTTATGTAATGAAATAATTACTTTTATATTTAATAATCGTAGAATGAATAAAAACTACCTCATCTCCATATCGACAAGCACGAGCAGCACGATGCGCGGCGCCAGCTCGGCCACGTGCAGCGAGTGCGGCGCGCACGGCGCCACGGCCGCGCCCGCGCACAGATTCACTATCCCACTGTTCTCTTCTGACAACCCTGACAGTTACGACCACAAAACATATCGACATTGTCCTGAATTTTTTTGACCGACTTCCAAAAAGAAGGTATTCAATTGGTCTGTATGTTTTTTGTAATCAATAAAAAATAATACGTCTTTCGGTGTCATCTCTTAACGAAGGATAGCGATCATCATAGCAATTTGAACTTAACACAGCAGTTCTAAATACAAAACGGGTACTAATAATCTATACTGATATTATAAAGAGGAAAAGTATGTCTGTATTTTTGAATGTATTGGAATAATTCAAAAACTACGAGGCCGATTTCAATAATTCTTTCACCATTAAAAAGCTACGTTAATTTTACGGACCCAATTACCAGCAATATTCAATATTTTTAAGAGAAGCAAACAAGCAGTGAAAACACTGAGGAAATTAATGTCGCCCATAGACATCTGCAATACCAGAGCATCTGTAGATGCATTGCCGGCATTCAAATAAGAATGGCCTTACCAACGTTATATTGTGACGTTATAGCAGATTTTTCCAAATTGTATATTTTTAATAATTAAAGTAAATCATTCATTCCGACTCAAGATAACTTATATTTTAGTGAATCATTGAAATATTTCAATGAAATAATTTAAATAGAGTAACTTACATGGTAGCCAAGAATTAGATGCAATATCAGCATTAGATTTGTTTGCATTCCTCCAATGCTCCTGCGCAGCAATACATTGAATACTGAGCAGAATGAGATCAGGTGGCATCAGATCCTCACTTCCTCGGCTAAAAAACACTAATCATTAACCATTAAAACTTTACAGTTGGCAAATTTGGTGGTGTCCCACCTTAAATCGTACATTGCTTGAATGTTTTGTATGCATTGAGACAATGCGAAACAAAAATCAATATAAACCAGCTTTAAAATGCTATTAATTGTTTATTTGTAAGATGGCATTTGTTTCATTGCAAGGAACAAGAGAATATTTTTAAAAGTGGAACACCGCAGAGTTCCACAACTGTACACACAATCAAAGAATCATCAACAAGACAAAAATTAATTACTTATTAATCCCAAAACTAGTTATAGTTTAGAATGTACATTAACATTGCAAATACATATAATTAAAATCTTGCAAAAAAATGTCTCCCCAACAAATCTAAAAAAACTGTAATATTTCTTTACCTTGAATACAATGCAAGCATTTTATCACCAACAAACAATAGCAGGTGAAAATGTTGGTATGAGGCGCATTTGATCTCCTTCGAGATAGATTTGAGAGCATTTAATGCAGATGCTGTGGCTCCACTCTCACCAATAACACCGCTGGCACCAGGTATGGAGTCACCCTTGGTACGGCTATCCAGTAACACTGACAACCAACCTTGGTAAACAGGGGAATGTAACCTGAAGTTAACAAATACATCAGAAGAGTTGAAAACAGTCAATTTAAATACATCAATATATTTAATTAATTCATCAAAAAGATCTAAAAACAAAACAATCCTTTTGTATATATATTACTTAATAGACCCATCATGGAATGCAAAAAAAAATTAGTTTTACATTGTTAACAATAAGCTGTTATAAAATTGGTCCACTGGCAGTGGAGTTATGCTGTAACACACACAATTGAGTACCTCCTTATGGAAAGTTGGTCAATAAATGAATCAATGAGCAATTAAACATTAAAGCAATGTTCATCTACAGATCTAATAGGCTAGATGTGACAAGTGAATCTTAACTTCCAAGCAATATGTCTACAGCTATAAATAACATACTTACAAATCTATATTTTGTCCGCATATATGCTGTACCAATGTTTTGCAATCTAATAGCTCTCTTTGAGCATCATCTATATCATCTTTAGTAATAATCATGAATACATGATCAAGGAACTGAAATCATAAAATTTCCAGTTACACTTATTTACATATTACTGCACTCGGTCATGAATTACTGAGAGACTTTGAGCACTACATGAGGACCTGTCCCACCAAATTGTAAATTGTCTAACAATTCAATATGCATAATATGTAATGAAAATACCGGAATTTTGTTCCCTTATCTGACAGTGAACTCATATTCAAGCTATATGTGCCTTTATCAGCCAGAGGTGGGACAGGCCCTTAGTGTAATGTAGATTTAGTAATATAAAGCTTTTGCCCATGACTATGACCATGCAGAATTTTAATGAAATATATAATGATAGACTTAACCCATGAAACTCGGTAAAAACATAGGTTTCTTACATCAAAGGAAGTTTTATATAGGTCTAGTGATTTTTAGGTTTATTATAGTAGACTGTTTAAGTAGCCATTAATCAACTCTGTGTGGCAGTACAACATGATAGTTAAACATTATAAGTACATTACCTCATCGAAGACAATAACAGTATCATCCTTACACTGCATAGAGGAATATGTATTTCCAAATTGCGCAGCCATTATGCGCTGTGATGTTATTATAGGTGATAACAATTGAGCTACATTATAACTGTCAGTAATATTCCCATCTGAACTCTGAAAATAACAATAAAAATTCCAATAGAGAACACCGAATTTGAACATGTTGGTGATACTTATGTGTCCTGTATTTAATTTCAAATCGATTTAGAGTTATTATAATTTACTTGCCTCTTCATTTAGAGATTTCATACGTTGCAAAAAAGAATCATCCCATTTTGAAAACAACAGATTGTTTACACTGTCGAATATCAGTGTAGCTTTCATGTTTTCAAGATATCTGGCTTCGGCGATAAGATTAATAAAGGCGGCTTTAAAGTAATGTTAAAAAAATTAACTGATTTTTGTGTTTTAAATTCACTGTTGTTTAAATTACAGTCATTACAATTATAAATTCAATCGAAAATACGATATATCAGTCCGAACCGAAATTACTTCAACTCTGACAGATGGCTGACATATGAAACTGACAGACTAGTTTTTTCCTACAACAAGTATTGTATACCTAGGTACAATGGCAACGTTTTTCCAATAAAAAAGAATTGCTAATTAAATTACTTCTCTTCTATTTTTTACAATTGCATGTCGTGCAAAGAAGTAATTTTTGTTTTCATTAGTTTGGTTCATTCAAGCAATAATTGTTTTCCGTTATTTATTTTAATCTATAAAACATGAACAAGTTTATTTGTTTACTGTCATAAAATGTCAATTTTGAATTTAACAAATAAAAGTTCATTTTGATTTTCTTAATAAAATATGAATAGAAGACAAATTGCTCTTGTACGTATTACTTATATTAAATGTGTTTTTTTTCTATAAAAAATTTTAAACAATTTCTTTTTTCCATATTGCAGAAAAAACTGAAGTCAATATGTTACTTAACATTAGGTGGTACCATTTCCTATCAATTCATTTATTTCAAAAAGGACTTTCATGGATATTACGACAATGTACTCAACCCCCTGAGCCAATGGATCAGTCCTGAATTAGCTCATAAAATTGGCGTTCTTGCCATTAAATATGGGATATTTCCCGCCGAAACCTACGACGATCCACATGTCTTAGTAAGTACACTATTTTCACGAATAAATTTCCGACAACATTTATTAAACAAGTTCTCTGTTTTCAGAAAACGAAATTTTTATCTTATGAGCTCAGTAATCCTGTTGGAATTGCTGCTGGTTTTGATAAACATGGTGATGCAATAGTCGGTTTGAGAAATTTAGGTTTTTCTGTTGTCGAAATTGGATCTATAACACCGGAACCGCAACCAGGCAATCCAAAACCTAGAGTATTCAGGCTGCCGGAGGACAATGCTGTCATAAATAGATATGGTTTCAACAGCGAAGGTCACAATACTGTTTACAACAAAATAAAACATTTAGATAAAACACTTTTAAATAATGGTTTATTAGGAATTAATTTAGGAAAAAACAAACTCTCTGATAATGCCACAAATGATTATAATTTAGGGATAAAAAAGTTTATAGATGTTGCTGACTACTTTGTCATTAATGTTAGCAGGTATGTAGTTTTTACTCCAAATTAATACTTATTTTTAAATTATACACTTATATCTGACATTTATTTCAGTCCAAATACTCCAGGCTTAAGATCATTACAGAGTAAACAAGAGTTAAAAGATCTTCTTGTTGGTATTAATAAGACTAGAAAAGCATTGCAATCAGAAAAGAATCCTCCATTACTTTTAAAACTTGCACCAGATCTAAGTTTGGAAGAGATGAAGGATGTTGTTGGAGTAATAACACAAAAGGATTCCGAAGTTCAAGGACTTATTATCTCTAATACAACAATTGATAGAACATCAGTTAGCAATAAACAGTATACCAATGAAGTGGGTGGTCTTAGTGGAAAGCCTCTTGCCAATAAATCTACGGAAATGATTAAAACAATGTACAAATTAACCCAAGGTATTTGATTCTATGTATAAATAACTATTTATATGTGAGAAAAAAAGTGTTGGAAAGTGTTTTAATATTTTATTTTAAATACATATAAAGTACATAAATATATAATTTTTTTACAGGTAAAATACCAATAATAGGTGTTGGTGGCATATTTAGCGGACAGGATGCATATGATAAAATCTTAGCTGGTGCTAGTGTATTACAAATATATACAGCTTTAATTTATCATGGTCCACCCATTGTTACTAGAATTAAAAAAGAATTAGCCGAATTGTTAGAGAAGGATGGCTACAGCAGTGTCAATGAAGCAATCGGGAAATGCACAAAATAATTGTATTTAATATATTATATTACATGTTCATGATTGTTTCATTGGTTTTATGGTGATTTTTAGATTGTCACATTTTCCGTCTCTCCTGAAATGTAAAATATGCACTTAATTGCATCCCATATACAAAGATACTTTTATTTGTATCCCCATAAAATACTATGTTGAACATAGAGGAAAGATGTGATCTCAAATGCCACTGAGTTATCTTTATATCTAAATACAAATATACATTTTCAAAAGATATTTGCCAAAAAACTAATCCCTTTTTATTTCTGAATGTTACCTGTTATTTGACAATTTGGTAATCCTGAACCCAAAAATTGTTTGCAATCGGCCAAATTCTCAACACTAGCAAGATCATATAATACAAGAGTTTTAAGGTTTCTTAATACAATCATTTCCTTCAAACCTGGGTCGGTCACATTTATACATTTAGATACTTGAACAAATGTTAACACATCTTTGGCATATGATAGCCCCTTAAGAGCTCTGTCATCAATGTATTTATTATTGTGTAATACTATTTTCTTTAACATTGTACATCCTTCTAAAACAAAGAAAAAAACAAACAAAAGTTACAGTTGAAACACTATGCAATACATCAATTTAAATATGTGAAATAATTACCTAAATGGGAAAACCCATAATGTGATATTGATGAATCTGTACCATCAATTTCTAACAATTTTGGGGTTTTAATTTCATCTGGAGGTAATAAATTATAGTCTGACTGTTTCTTGCCATCTGCCCATGTTACTTTACCGCCGTTTTTTAACACCCATTCGGCACATGCTCTATCTGGACCCACAGTTTTTATGCGGTGCATATCTGGTTTGTTGAACATCATGTTTACATACTCCCAAAAAGACCTTGTATGACATTTCTGGGGTAGAAATACTATACGAGTGAGAGATCCTAGGCTCTGAAATTAAAAGCATATTGAAAATAATATTTAAAAAGTGTTAATAAGGATTACATTTCCTTTACATACACATCGTTGCATCATAAAAGTTTGGAGATTGTCCTAAAAGTCAAAATTTTAATCAAATAGTCAAATTGTCTGAAGTTGCATATGGTTGCATAAAGTGAAACTATAACCGTCGGTTGTCCCTGCAGAAAAGAAAATATAATTGTCTCGTTTTTATGTTATAAATGAATAAGAGGGGGAAATTTTTCACGAAAATATATAGACAGTGGAAGCCCACAGTAAAATAAACCAGACGTCCCCTGTCAATGTCAATGTCAAAAAAGTGTCATCTTTCTGGTGTCATTGGTTTTCCACCATTTTCCAATTTCCACCAAAAACTGTTTTACTTTTACTTCGTGCATCGTAGAAATCGAAAGCGAGACAATTGTGGCTTAGATACTGGAACTTGGGTTTCAATTTTATCTTTATAAAAATAATTATCAGTTCATCAGATAAAACACTGTAAAATACACCAGTTCAATTCAATTCAAGCTCAAATATACAGCGAGTAAATAGTGTTTAACTTACAAAATAACTGTTTTAACGAATATTACAATTATGCTATTGTGTTGGTAAGTTAATATTTATACTAATAACTGAGTAAAACAGATATCTAAACGTAGAACATATATATATTGCAATTTGAACTATTTTTACGTTTTCATATTTTTCTTATAATCGAAGTAATGTGCGATATTTTTTTTTGCAGATACGGCATTTTAAGGACAAATAGTGAATAGTGCATGTATAGATTCGTAGGAATTATCTTAGATCTTCAACAAAGCCAAAGAAAAAATAATTTAAGAACAACATTTCTTCTTAGAATTTGCAGCCAAATTCACAATACAATGGAGACCAGCAAAAAGTTAACCATACAAGAAAGTCAAGTATTTTCAAAGAAATATTACAGAAGAGTTGAGCACAGGTGAGATTGTTTTAATTTATTTAGTTAACAAGATAAACAGATAGAAATGTTTTTTTTCTCATGTGAGAATAAAATCTATTTAATGTTTAAGACTGCTGTAGGCAAAAAGTTTTCTTGTCCAATTGAATAGAATAATTTTGAGTCAAAGTTAAAGGTTTAGTTCTGTTAAGACCAGATTGTGGTTAGGAGGTATTTTAGCTTTTTTTATTAGAAAGTTGAGTTTTATAGGGGTAGGTTTTAGAAAGTCCAACTATAAATCAAAAACCAAATAATGTTTTGTTATTTATTTTAAATGTTTCCTTATATTTGAATTGATTAAAGATGTTTTTTCTCTTAATCTATAGCACTTCTAAAGTTTTATAGCTCTTGATAGTGCTTTATTCATTAAGATAAATTATTTCCATACATATCTGCTTGTCAAATTACACCTATACATTTGTTATCTAAGAACCAATTGATATTGATAATGATATCAAAGTTTTCAATATTTAATGAAATATTAAGGTTGACTTAGATCCCTTTTTGATATAGAAAACTTGGACTCGTTGGAGTGGCGTTTAACATCTTTGTTCAAGATATTAGCAGATATCATACTCAATATGCAAATTGGCTACCGCTGAAACAGAAGTCTCCTTCCCTAAAATGTCCTGCCCCTTGCCGGTATTTTATATTTAGTATTTTTAGGATATCCTTGTCTTTTATGGACACAACTTTTAATATACATTAGTCATAATTATGAACAAGAAATAATGCCAGGATTAGAATGAGGAGAGGAATAATTAATTGCTGTGTAGTCTTTTATATGACTAGCTAATGATTTGCTACATGTAGCCAACTGTGAGAAGTGACATAACATTTATATATTTTAGAAATGTTGGTAGAAATGTATACACACTATTTAGTTTAGGTCTACTCTTATGGAATACTTTCTTTGTAGATGGTATTTGAGATTAACAAGTACCTTTTATAAAAATAATAATAGACAAATAGATACATGTAGTACATACAAACTACAACGAAAATATCTCGTTCCCCACCTGCCCGACCTCGATCACGGCGCTAGTTACAACTTACCGAATGTATTTACGTCTCATTTATATTTAAACTTTACCGTAAGGAATAAAAGACATTAGTATCGCTAATACGTATACAGTTCTCGTCACCACTGACATTTGTATTTCGAAAATCGGCCAAAAATATCAATTGCATAGTACAGCACATGGTGTGAAATACGAGATTTAATAAACTTTTTTGCAAACAATACGCCGATAGGTCTATGACGTCATTGAATCTTATAGCCTGCCAGTAGTACAGGCGATATTTCAAAGATCCCGTTTAAATAAATACCAAGGCCTATTTCTTTCGAAACATTCAAAAAAATATTTTGCTATCCATGGTTTATCAAACAGAATAAGGGAGACTTTATATTTTTGTGTGTTTGTCAATGGAAACTCACAAGTTGCATAAGTCTACCCGATTACTGTATGGCGAATTTTTGCCGAAATATGTTTGAACTGCAGAATTCGCCAATGTGTTAAGATATATATTACTTAGGTTTGATTGCTCCTGTACTATAAAGCTGCTTGCATACTGGTGTTAAGGCTAGTTAATATAGATGTAGTTATCTTCACTTTGACGTTACCCATGCAATAACTTGTTATCATACAGTACACAATAAATATATTTATTGTCCTTATCACAATACATGTACGCAAGCTATTTAAACTGAAATGTACAACTTTCTACATTTTCATACTTGACTTTAATTCTACTTAACTGTACTTAGAAGTCAGTAAGAGTTCTCTATTTGCAAATTTGATGTAAACCATCACGAAAGCTTATTAATTTCGGTCGTAATTTCTAACATAAGTATATTGAGATATTTACGACGCTAAAGACCGGTCAATGGGTTATCGATACGCCGAGGTCGATGTGTAACCACTGACATGGATTGCGTTAATTTTCGTAAAATAAGCGTCAGTACCATCTCTGACTTCGATCAGAACGGTCACAATTGTCTTTTTTTTCGTCTATTAATTCTTTTAAAATGCCTGATGCGTTTGAAAGTGCGTATCCCCTGACGCCACCTTTGAATCCCAACGATATACGCGCACGCGCAAACTCGTCGTCGAAACGAAAGCCGGTAGTGACGTTCTTGGCTGGCGATGAAGCCGTAGAGATTCCCGACAAATCGATAGTCGGTGTCGACAAGCCGTTGTCGAAGAGTGAAAGGAGCGAGCTGGAGTTGGACAGCTTTGCGGAATCCCTTACTACGATGCAGAATACGTGGTTCGATAAGAGAGATCTCGCACACAGGTGAGCGATTGCGACATTCGTTTTGTTTACGGTTGCTAAGCGCCGATAATAATTGCCTTCAAGGTTAAACGGCTATTCAACATGTATTGTGCTAATGACATTTGGATATTTTTTCTTACATTAGCACTTATAACAATGCGGACTGGAATTAATTTTAGCAAATATTTTTTTAGTTTGGCGTCCTGTTTTTAATATTTATTACTGTAATGGTATTAAATAGTCGTTCAATATTCACAATATTCGATATTTTTTAATCTCTTGATACGTGATTGTAAGTGGACAAGATGTGTGCTTGTGTATAGCCATAATGGATTTAAATAAGAATGCGTTATAAAAAAATTGTGCCAGTAAAGAAAAAAATGAAAAGCAAAAGGTTACGAGGTTTGGAAGAAAACAAATGAAGATAGAGTATGATAAAGATTGTAAAATGCATAATATGCTGAGTTATAAATGTAATATTCAAACTATCTTTATTTAATTTGTGTTCATCAAAAAGACTGATGAAGATTGAATGAGATTTATTAAACAAACAATGCTTATCAGCACACAAGAACCCGTGTCACTTCCCTTCCTAGAACACTATTACAAAGTACTCGTACTCGTACTAGTAATGGTTGGTTATTCATTGTTGCTGATATAAATTATCAGAAACTATTTTATTTATTTTTTATCTGTGGTTTCATAGAATTTATGTTCTTTATAGTTACAAATAGGTAAAACTTATGTTTTTACATTATGTATTTGCAGATGTCTATGGGCAGAACGCACTGTGTAACTTAAAAAAAAGATAGTAAATAGCATTTGTGAATAATACAAGTATGGAAGGAAATATTTGTTTTCTTTCAAGCTTGGTTTTAATTTTTATTTATTGTAATAGATAATAGTAAAGATATGTAAGAGTTCATATTCAAGTATGTACTATCGAATTTGATAAAGTACAAGATAAAGCTATTGGTAATTGACATCGCTTGTCAGTGTTTCTTGTGAGTCATTTTCACTATAATACACTGGGAAAATGTAGAAAGAACTGTAACATTTCTAATTAACATAGGTCTTAATACCCAAAAATGTCGCTATGTTTTCCAAATAATGCAACCGAAACATAAGTAAATTATTAAATGATACTTTTTTTCTTCGAATTTTCTCTATTTTTTTTTATGTTCCGATTAAGATTTAGATATTTTAGCGATATGATTGTGTCATTAATGATCAATAAATTATTTTTTAAGAGTTAGACAAATATTTGCAAAGCAAAGTACCGTCTGTTTTAACGGTACAAGGTTTGTTTTCTATATCAGATTTTTTTTAAATCTTATAAAATGATTAGGGTATTTATATTGGTTATATAAAACGAAATTAGACAGGACATGTGTCGAGTAGTGTATACTATAAAATAAATACACAGTGAGACATGTACTGCCGACGATCGAATGAATCAGCTGTTTGCAGTTATTCGTTGGTCGTGGGGGAAGTGAAGCCGTGGATTTTCATTGGCGTAAAATCCTGTCATGCTAAGTTGAGATACAAGGTGTTTTTGGTAATTAGACTTTAACCATGTCGATATACAAACTTGTATGCACAACTAAATATTATTTAAGATGCTTGACATTTTAGTTCTTTAGCCGTGGTTGGAAAAAAATTTGATATTCAAGGTTCGTTAAATCAAAAATCACCACATACGCCAATAATGGAAAAATACATGTTTAATGTTATAAATCCTTATGGAATTACGTATCAGTATTCACTCCCTTAAAACCAAATTATTCACGAGGTTTTGTACTTTTTTTGTGGTATGTGAATGACACACCGTGTAAACCTACTGTAAGCGAATCGTGAACGCCATCGGCATGCGATGCGGCGAGTATGCTCAGTCACCGCGGTTGCGTCTCACCGTCACCACCTGTCTACGTGAGCTCTTATTATCTATGACGATCTAGATAACAGTCACCTAACACGTAAATTGACTTTCGTAAAAACCGTATACCCTCCTAACGTTGTTGTTATAAAATTTGCATATATTGTACGATGTGAATGCGTTTTTATTTCGTCGTAGTCAATTTTATTGCGGAGTTAATCGTGATATTGAAGTGAATTTTGTGTTATTTACTTTGACCATATGTTTGAAGTTTTTGTGTTTGAATTCCTGTTGATTGACAAACTCGCATTGTTATTGTGAGTCATAAGGTCTACAATGACATGCTTGTTCGTTACAACTGCGCATTGTGAATATTGTTATCGTAAATTCATTTAATAACAATTGTAAGAAAAAGGATAAATTCTATAGCAACATGTATAATTTTTTTTAATATCTAATTCTTATTAGATATTTTTCCAAATGAAAAACTCTATACGATATTTTAGTTAGTATGCACCATAGTTAGAGTATGCCTAATTGAGGAAGCATAATATTAATGGTAGTCTGGGGAAATATCGATCAGCGAGTCTCCTGGCAGCGCACCCTCAGGCGCTAGCTCTCTGCACTACTATCCAATTTAGATATCATTTACTTATACTATATTTAACAAGCAAATCACAAAGATTTGGTTACTTAAACACTCTTATGAGGAGATTTTTACTAAATCTGCACTAAAAATCTTTAAGATATCTTTTCTCTGGGCGAAGCAGTAACAAGAGATAGTGCACACAGTGTATAAGTACGCCAATCAAATAAACTTCATGTATTTTAGAGTGGTGTTTTAACCTTGTCACTGTCAAGGATATCCACTAAATCGCTTCCCGCAATTTAGTTACATGTAGCGTTCGAGCACAAAGATTTCTTACATTGATGTCTGTTTTCTTATAGAGTGAGTTAATGACATTCCAGTATACGTTAAGTTTGTAAGTGAACGTTATAATATAAACAAAAGTGAAGTTTGTTTAAATAACATTTATGTAAGTGTAACATGAGATTTCATGAAGCAATGGCGAATGGAAAAGCTGAACTATCTGAGACCACTTTGTTAAATGGATCTTCTTATGGCAAAGGCGATAGATATACGGCAGCACCTAATGAGTAAGTTTTTTCCAATGCAGTGTTTCTTATATCTATACATACATGCATATGGTACATACATATATATGCGTACGTTAAAGTTGAGTTTGCCAAAAATGACGATATGTTAGCGGACTGACTCGCAGATAACCTCGAAGGTGGAAAGTTGCCTGTTCTCAACAGTTGTGTCTTAGGTTCGAATTACACACGATGTGAAAATTATTAATGTTTTTCATTATCAATTTCTTGACAAATGAAGGGAGCGTTTTATTGTCACATATTTCTCTTTGTTAGGCGTAAAAGAAACGTAATCACGTCACTCTAATAAAAATATTAATATATCAATCGTAAATTGTTGAAGGAAAGTCATTTATTTATAGAAGATAAAAGTTTCTGTATCATCACGTGAACTTATTTTTGGAAGGCTGGAGAACTGTTGCCCGAAGTAAATTGCATTCGCTTGGCATAATATTGGCAAAGTAAAGCATCGTTGTGCTGTCAAATATTGTCATTGCCACCGGCGCCAAGGTTTATATCTGGATAACCTGACAAGAACGTACTCTTAAATCGCATGCAATCGTTAGTAATATTTAATCGCTAGCTCGTGAAATACGCGACGAGAATACAATGTTTACAAACAAATCTCTGAGTATATTTATACGTTTCGAGTCTTTGTTGCAAGCTCGGTAAATGTAGTGTTGGAATAATAAAAGACAAATGATTCATGTTTGATATAACTTGAGATGTATTGTTTTGGATTTCACTTCATTATTACCAAGATTAATTCTTAATTGTAAATCATAATGATGTTAATTGTAGACATCAGTGTATTTTACGAATAATTATGCACTTCAATACCAAATTAAGGTCAATCAAAGACGTTTTTGTTTATGTTACAACTAAGTAGAGCGTTCCTATTTACAAGATGTTGATGGTCAATTATAAATTTATTTAAGCTTTCGCCAACGACTCCGTTCGCGTGGAATTAAAAAAAAACAAAAGTGTGTAGCCTATGTGTTCTTCCAGACTATCCTCTACATCTTTACCAAATTTCATCGAGATCCGTTACGCCATTTAGGCTACAAACTCTAACAAACATCCATCCATCTAAACTTTTGCATTTATGATATTAGTAAGATTAAAAAGATAAGATTTAAAGGATCGTACAAATCAATGTACCGTGTAAGGACAACACTTTTTGTTAACCATGCTCGTCGTAATATTATTTGTTAGTTGTAGCTAGAGAAGTAATTTTCCTTATATTGCATAACATTGGAAAAATTGCGGTAGGTATTGAAAAACATTAACAATACTGAGTAAACAGATCTTGATAGCAAGAGGTAACCATATTACGGATCACAGCGAAAAATAGCGGAATGACGGCCAAAAAAAAAGGATCAGCGATACCCTCCACACGTTTTTGATATAATTAGAATTTAAAAAAAAAACATATTACGGAAAAGATCACCAATTTGACACTTTGTGTTTCTATTTTTTTTTTCAATTAAAATTCTTAGTTATAATCGTAGGAATTAGGCCAATGTTAATTTTTATTTTATGTCACTTGGAGAGATTGGTTCTGAAACTCAACTTTTAGGTAGATTTGTTTGCACATAACCGGTTTAAAGATAAAGTAAAGGATATATCCTGGTTTAATTGATGTTTATGTAAGATTAATATATGAGATGTTTTTTTGTATTTTATAATGGTCTTGTTTGAATCTTACTTCTTATCTTACTAATATTATAAATGCGAAAGTTTAGATGGATGGATGGATGTTTATTAGAGTTTGTAGCCTAAACGGCTTAACGAATTTCGGTGAAATTTGGTACAGATGTAGAGGACGGTGTGGAAGAACACATAGGCTTTCACACTAACACTTTTGGTTTTCTTAATTCCACGCGGACGGAGTCGTGAGCGGAAGCTAGTCATTTACAATTCAATGGAATCCCTTTAAGCAAATGTATGAAGTTTCTCTTCGACGCTACGGATACTTTTACGATGTAAAGAGGTCGAGTGTAACTCGGCTCGTGTTGATTTGCATAATTTTCTATTTCATTTCGTTGTTGTCCGCGTTGCCATTATCGTCACACGTCTTGACGTAATCGTTATCTGAATGGAAACTTATCCAATTCAAATTAGCACGTCAAATTGGGTTGCGTGATCGGAAATGTTTACGGTAACGTCATGCTATTTTTAGTGTGCGGTTTAATTTTAATTTTCTAATCGCGTTTTGTTTTGTAACCAAATAGGTATACAATTACAAACCTCAGAGTATCGATGGTTAACCACATATCTTGTGTATCGAAGATAATTCGACTGAAAATGTTTAATAATAGCGGATAAAAAGGTTTTAAATAATGAAATCTAAGAGATTGAAGGGCCTGCCCTACCAAATTGTAAAATATTCGATTCTCCGTAAAAGTTGATGAAAACCATTAATTTTAAAATCATATTTATACTAGCTTTCGTCGCGACTCCGTCCGAGTGAAAAAAAAAGCGCGTAGCCTATGTGTTCTTCCAGGCTATTCCCTACATCAATACAAAATTTCATCGAAATCAGTTCAGCCGTTTAGGCTACAAACTAACAAACATCTATCCATCTAAACTTTCACATTTAGTAGTATGATTGCTCCTATTTTACCAAGTTGTACCGGATCCGGTAACAAGATGCTTATCCTGTGAGTACTTGTGATAGTATTTAAGTGATTCACTACAGCATAAGTGACAATCTCCGGTCGTGTTCTGGGAAGTTGCAGTAGCCGAATTGATAATGGTCATATCATACTATTCTGCCTTTGTTTAATGTTACAATGCTCTTACGTTTTGTTGCAAGATAACTATTGTATTCACTTAATGGGGATTTTAATTATGTCCTAAAAGTCTGTATTCTAATTGTTTGATAAATATTGATTAATATCTATATTAGGAATTGAAAAATAAGATATATTTTTGCAGAATTGGATTGTTTTTGATGATGCAGAAACAGATTTGAACGTCGTCGTGTGCAGTAAATATACGTTCTATTTTTATAAATGTGGTAACATTCAGAAAGTATGACGTCATATGATTTTGAATACCCGCTGACTGGTGAAGTGGGATTTGATTAATGTTTTATATTAAATCTGTTATTTACATTTATGTAAAGTAATAGGATTTTTAAGAGGCTATATTATTTTAATAAAAAGAAATTGCTTATGAAACTCGTTTAGGCTATTTTTATCCAGCTATTTCAATATCACAAACACCATTAAAATATAAACTTAATATAGAAAAATTCATTGGTAAATGACGTCGGCAGCATGTCATTTAGGAAGTGTTTATTTTTTTGGGGGAGGGAGAGCAACTCCCTGGAGCCTTGAACTTAATTTGTGGACAGCTAACGACATTTTTGTTTTTGATTTATAATAATTTTATTTATTTGATGTTTATTTGTGAAATTGAGGTCGGTCATTTGAGTTGCACTTCAAGCGAGGCCAGTGTATGTAAAAATTAATTATGTACTGTCGCGTTTATAAATGTACAACATAATATTACAATGTTTATTTTAAATTCATGTTGATAATCCGGTTTTATGCCTTAACTAGCTTTCGCCCGCGACTCCGTCCGCGTGGATTTGAAAAAAACAACGAAAAAGCCTATGTGTTCTTCCAGACTGTCCTCTACATCTATACCAAATGTCATCAAAATCCGTTCAGCCGTTTAAGCTACAAACTGTAACAAACATCCATCCATCTAAACTTTCGCATTTATAATATTAGTAAGTTTAGTAAGATAGATAAGATATATGATATTGTTCATAAATCTTGATTTCTTTCGACATCATACACACATTTTAAAATCAAGTCCCCTAAGCTTTGTTTACAATAACAGATTTAATTAGATTTATCAATATCAAATATTGTTTACTCGAAACAGCGGACGAGGGAATTCCTGTGGGAGACGTCGGGGTTAGTTACTGAGCAACAAGTCGTCAACTACAGTAAATAAACTTATATAGTGCTGTATTATTTCGAAAAAAATATTTTTCCAAAGTATTTCGTTCGTGACACAAAATAGGCGCTTGATAGTAACGCTGCCGTGCGATTCTGACTTGACCTAAAAAAACATCTTGACCCAAAATAGGAAGTGGACACGAGTGTATTGTTCTAGTCTTCATTCTACAAATGACAACGTACTTGTATCATCATGAACTTGCCCTTTTCCCTATAGAGGGTCGGCATAGTATCTTCCATACATTTCTACCAGCCGTCATATCTGAATCCAAGAAACGTTAGTTATGAGTGTAGAAGGGTACACTGGTTTCTGGTTTATATCCCCATCCTTCGTCGCATTACATGGGCATAGGTATGCATATATGCATGCATACTCCATACTAATTCTATAAATGCCA